ATAGCAGGTTTATCATAAGTGCCAAGACTTGGACTCAAATCAGATGTCGAACAGCAGTTGGATGGATACTGTTTTACAGCCAGATAAGAGGATATTACTCAACATCAAAACTGAATGAGCTATCAAGCCATGAGAAGAGATGGAGGAAACATACATATTATTAAGTAAAAGAAGCCAATGTAAAAAGTCTACAGACTGTAGAAGTCTAACAAAAGGATAGACTGGAAAAGGCAAAACTAGAGATAGAATGATCAGTGGTTGCCACAGTTTGGGGAGGGAGGGATGAACAGGCAGACCACAGAAGATTCTTATGGCAGTAAAATTACTCTTTACAATACTATAATGATGGAGTATGTCATTATACATTTGTCAAACAAAACTACTGAATATAAATACCACCTGAGGATGCTACTACAAACTACTGACTTCAAATGTCAATATAGGTTTCCTGATTATAGAAAATGTTCCACTCTGGTGGAGGATATGAATAAAAGAAACATCATATGAAGAGGTAGGGGTTTATGGGGCATCTTTGTACTTTCTGATCAGTTTTTCTGTGAAACAAAAATTGTTCTTAGAAAATAAAGTCTTTTAGAAAATTTGTAGAAAGTGGGGGTTTGGGGAAGGTTGACAGTACTTGTTGGCGTAAGTGGTAATAATGAAGGTGTAAGTTTTCTACAAAATCCATTATGTGGTTGTTTCCATGCCTTTTTCTTATTTATATTTCACAAGACAAATTTTAAAAGCATATAACATATAAAGACATTAAAGATATATAAAAGTGCAGTTTATACAACACACTGTACAACAGCAATATTTTTATCAGTTAGATACTGAAATGTTAAAAGGGTTATATTTTCAATAAGGGCTAACGTACTTTGGGATATCTACAGAACTCATAAGTATTACTTTAAAATGAAACCAAAAATACTATAATACTATATTATATGTAAAATTATTTTTCCTTCTAAATTTTTATATGAGCCACTTAGAAACTATTTGTATAAACACAAGATACATGTATTCTCTACTAATATATTTTCCCATTTAAAATAATCAACAAATTGATACAATTTTAAATAAATAAAGTACTTATTGTAAGTCATTGTTATTTTGGCATTTTGCTTTTATTGTTGAACATCTTTATTAAAATTATCTGTGGCATTAGTAAAAAAATGTCAGAATTATAAAGTGGTAGGAAAACATGAAGTTTGTTCTGTTGACTGAAGACTTGATCCATTATTATAGTAATGGATCAAATTTCCAAGACATCATGGTGTTATAAACAATAATCATAAAAAGCAGCATCCGTTATGCAAAATGATCTACTGTATCCTCCTTATAGTAACTTCATTATAGCAGCAGGTTAGCAAGTCAAATTTAAAGTATGTTGTGCATAATTTAGTTTGAAGGAAAAAAGTCACTAGTTCAACATTCTACTATATAATCTTGGTCTTTTTAAGTTACTATAACATTGAAAGGTTAAAATTCATTGACAAGTTTGTGATTTAATCTTTTACTGATTTTATATACTATTTTGAGGGCATAACCCAGTAAAAAAATCAGAAATGAACAATACTCTCTTCTCTCATTTAGAAAGTAAGATGACAATTCTGTATAACTCTAATTAAATTCATAATATATGATCACGTAATACCATCAGGTGTTTCTGGATTAATGCACAAAAGGAATTAAATTAGAAATACAGTATGATAATGATCTAACATCAGCAAAAGTGATTATTTACAGTTTGCAAAACTGGTAGGAACAAATGCCAATCAAATAAATAGCCTGTATTTAGATAACCCAGGTAATAGTTCAGTGGGGAATTTTGAAAAAGAAATTATTATTTCAATGCCAAGTCACGCTCACAGCTTTGAACAAGTAGCAAAACATGGGCATGTTTCTCAAATGGATTTCACAGCATCAGTGCAAAAGCTGGAGGGGATGGCTTAGTTTTTTAAGCCTCAGATTTAAACTACCTAGACTCCTTGCAACTACAGCATTAAATCCTCTGTGGAACCACAGCTTCAAATGCTATCAGTGGAGACTCAATTCTTCATCGTTCAGAGACTGATAAATAGAAAGCCAGAGGTTTAGAGGAAAAAGAGGTGGGTGTGCAGCTCCCTTTTCAACCTCACACACACACACATACACACACACACACACACACACACACACAAAGATGTAACATCATTTAAGGTTCTATTTGAGACTTTCTCCTCTGTAGGACTTCAGGATGCTATTTTTAAAGACATCCAGAAATATCATAACCCATCCTGCACCATCTTTGCAAATTTAAACTAAATTTTAGATAGATGAAAACAGATCAAAAACATTTTCAACTCCTCCTATACAAAGAAATTCTAAGCACTTATTTTAAAATGCATTCTAGGTATTTGGCTGATTCTATTATTCCTGTAGAAATCTGTTTCTCAAATTGATTTCTTTTTGCTGCTTTGTATGTTTCTGGATTGCTGATGCCAATGGTTAAGTACTTGATGAAAACATCAGTACGTTATTTAATTAGCACTTGAACATTGTCTAACATCTTCTACCTTATTTACAAAACTTCATATTAAAAGAAAGAACACTGTAACTATAGATGAGGAATGTGTGATCTAGGAAGACTACACAAGTTAACCACACTTGATACATTCTTGTTCTAAATTTTAAAATCCTGGTCTTGAAAATCACCCTAAGTATTGTTAACTTGACACAGGAACACAAACATTTTACTACACAAAACCATGTAATGCATTTTAGATTTAAATCAAAATAACTTTAGAGCTTTATTTCTCAGTAACACTGTATCTCTACTATTACGTATAATGATTGAATAAAAATTAAAGAGGGTGCCAGGAAAATGTAGACTACGTTGTTAAAGTCTACCCACCAAATTGTTGACAAATACATTCAGATTTTCCTCATAATAAAGCAGGATTCTCATATATTGAAAGACAAAAACCTAAGACTAACCCAAGTGACTTCTAGGTCTAATGGCTAAAGTTCTCCAAATGTTATTTAGGAAACAAGGATTAATCTTGAAGGAAACCAAATATCCAAACTAGATTTTTTTTTTTTTTAAAGTCTCAGCTATGGAGATAACTAAATTTAGGCAAACTGAATCCATTTGATTTTTTTTTTTTATTTTTTATTTAGTACAGTCTACAGGGTCTACAGGGTCTCACTATGTAGATCCCATTGTAATCCTGTTTTCAGCCTCCCAAGTGCTGGGATTACAGGTGCACCCCACCACTCCCAGTCTTTATCACCTTCTCAGTGTGTCCCGGGGGCAGGGCCAGCTCTGCAATGATGGGGATCAACCCCTATCCCTACACTCTACCTAAGAAGGAGCTTTAGTCTGCTGATCTATCTGGCCAGCCCTCCACTTGGTATTTTAATAACCATCCAAAAATACAAAAGACTAGATTGTTTTGAGATTGCTGGCTGTGTGTGTGTGTGTGTGTGTGTGTGTGTGTGATACTAGGGATCAAACTCAGGACCTTGCGCTTGCCAAGCAAGCACTTATTCCACTGAGCTATCTCCCTGGCCCAAACTGCATATTATTTTTAACACAAATATTTATGAGAAAATTGGCATTTGGATTAGCAAGTAATTTAGCTGTTTTCCTTCAACTACTAAATGAGATGAACTTCTCTGATGGAATTCTGATTTCAAGCAAAAAAAAAATCTTGAAGAAAAAAGTGTATAAAATAGGAGGTAAAATTTAGGCAATTTTAGGTGGAGAATCATAAAAACCTGAAGAGCTAGGAAGAAGCCAGAGAACGCTGCTGACACTAAGCCCAATTTTCCATGACAGTATTTTACAGTTTTTGCTGAAGATGTATAAACTATAAGACTATATTCTGTATAAACTATATTCAGCTCAGGTGTTATGAAAAATCCATTCAGAGGGCAACGTAAGTATTCCTGACTTTCTTAACCTGTCTCCCCTGTCTTTCACCTATCATCTGGTATTATCTTATGGTCCTTGCCCCAGTACAAATGGCTCAGTCCAACTCCAAAATCCCATTGAATTCACTGCAGTTCCTTTTAATTACATCTAACTTTTGAATAGCACTTCCCTGCCTTTATTCTTGTTTAAATTACTCTATTTAAATTCTTATGCTGCTTAAATTCTATACTCAGTTTCCTCGAAGTAAGAGTTTCGAAGATTTTTGTAAACCAAACAACTTTCATCTAGTTCGTATTTTACAAGCCTGGATAGATTCATAGATGTTCTTCACAACTCTCTTCCCTTACATACATGGGCAAGCACTCCACAGCCCCAGAGGGATTAATGGTCCAAGGTCACACAACTGTGCAGCAGCCACCGAATTATCAAAATGAGCAGCCTTGACCATGCATGTAAACTCTCCATCCCTTTTATTCAAACATTTATTTAATACTTAATGGTGCCACGCACGGAAGTAAAATACGTTAAGGACAGAACGGAGGTAGTATTCTTGCTGGAGGCGCAGGAAGGCGTCCGTTAGAGGACTATGCAGCGGGTACATTTCTATCTTCCCAGGCGGTCCAATTATTCCAGCTCAGAGACTTACAGCCAAAGGACGTCCTACAAAAAAGCTGTGGTGGGAGGCGACGCAAAGACAGGGCGGCCGCCGAGGAAATTCAGCGCACATTTTAGGTTGGCCAAACTTCCCAACTTCGACTTTTAATTAAGAGACTATGTGAAAACCAGATTAAACAGCACACAGCAATTACCTGAATTCCTAAAGTTATGCTTCATGCTAATTTTCAAATGTGAGGCCCAATCTACCTTTAAAGAACGGGAAGTGGCAATTTAGCTCATTATTTACAAAACCAAACAGCATGTCACCTAAGAGCACACTTCTCCACGAACCACCTCACGACCGAAGACCACCGAACTTCCGCAATCTGCGGAAAGGTCACCTCTCGCGATAGTTCAAGGAGCCCAGGCCGAGCCAGGAGGGTGGGCGTGGTCTCCGGGTGGGCGGGGCCTGGGCCGGCGAGCCGCTTCCCGTGAAGGCGCGCGCGCAGGCGGTCGGGTCTGGGCGGGCGGAGGGTCACGCGACCTTTCTCGCGCTCCTCTGCGCAGCTCCCAGCTATGGCGCGGAGCTCGCATTTGCCTCTCGTTGTCGTGCCGCTTCTGCTCGGCCCGGCTTTAGTGCGCAGCTGCAGCCCTCTGCCCCTGGTCGTCAATACTTGGCCTTTTAAGAACGCCACCGAAGCAGGTGCGGGGCGGCGGCCGGGGCCGGGCGGGTGGCTGCCCGCGAAGCGCGCAGTGGGAGGGCCGCCCCGCTGGGGTCCGGCCGGGCGAGCGTCCCACTCCCTGACGGGCTGGGAGCAGCCTCGGCTCGTCCTTCCTGCCCGCCGCGACCGGCAGCCGGCCTTTCCTCCGTCCTGTCACTCGGGATCACGCCCTTTATGGTCGCCTTCCCTCTGCGTGACCTCCAAGGCCTTTTTTGGGTTTTGTGTGCCGTGGCGCTGGTGCTGGCTTTTGTCCGGCGCGCAGCTTTCCCTCGGGCTGCTTCCCGGGGACGGCCTCACCGCCCCTCCCTAACCCCTCGCTCCCCTTCCGGACCTTGGGTGCCAGTCTTGCAAACGATAATTACTCAAACAAATGCTCACTTCTTCCGGTTGGGTTTGCGGCTGCATGCACACGTGCAGTCGTTGTCCCCCGGAAGGTGGGGCCCAGGCTTGGCTGTTCGTTAAAATGATGCGTGCAGCTTCTGAGGAATCTAGTTGACCTGCCGGGCCCCACCTCCTGAGATTTTTCTAATTACTGGAACCAGCACATCGGACTTTAAAAGTGCCTATGTGATTGTTCATTTGCAGTGAGAGAGGGCGAAGGTTATCACCTTCTTTTAGGAAATGTGCCCTTGATTTATTGTCATCCAGCCCACCGGGTTGGGTTCCAGCCTTGTGCGCTTTGATCTTGTCCTGTATATGCCATTAGCATACACAGCGTTTTCACATAGTGTTCTTTTTTTTTTTTTTTTTTTTTTAACGTGTTTCAAGACATACTACCACAGGAGTAATTTCAGATCTACTTCTAAGGCTGTTAGTATATTAACTTTCTGAGGGAAAAATTGGCTCCAGAGTTTAGTCGAGGTAAATCTGTATGTTACAGGTAGTGTATATGAACTCAAAAGAACATGAGAAATCAGACTGAAAAACATACTCTCCACAATAGTGAAACAGAAAGTCCGACAGCTTGGGCAGGGGACAGTCCTGTACAAGTTGCCTATAGTGAAAGGATTTCTAAAACTCTGTTTGCAAGACTGTAGGTCCAATAGTGATGCTTAATTAGTGCTTATTAACAATAGCACCTACGCTTCAAAAAATACTCTTTTATCAGTAAAGAAGTTCTTTCTATTACATAGGAGCTTGACCATTGAAGAGAAGGCCCCACACACAGTGTACTGAGTATGGGCCCACAGAACAAGGTATTAAAAGTACAGCCACACTAGTCCAAATGACTGCTTTTAGAAATGGCTGTATGACCTTGTACAAGTTGCCTAACCTCTGTGGCTCTGTTATCTTTTGTTTAAAATGAGAATTGTAATTGTTCACAGTATTACTGCAAAAACTGTTGTGAATATAAGATGAATCAGTCCTGTTAAGCTTATTTATTTGCTATTACAGTGTTACTATTAATAGGTGTTGCCTCCTTAACAGTACTAGTTATAAATACTTTTGATACTCTAGAAGTAATTTATAAGACAATGCACTTTTAAATCAGTTGCCTTTGAGTGGTGTCAGTTGTGTCTTTTAAAATAAAAGAGGGGAATCTGGGTGTGATGGCCTGTAATCCCAATAATTCTGAAGTCTGAGACAAAAGGATCACAAGATCTAGGCCACTTTGTGCAAATGAGTAAGCTTGTCTCAAACATTAAAAAATGGGGCCACAGCTCAGGGCAAAGGCCCTGGGTTCAGTCTCCAGTAACTGAAACTAAATGAAAGAACACTTATTCATGTACTTCTTTATACAGAAGGAATAGATGTTGATAAGTGAAATAAATCTCACATTACCAATAAGTAATCTGAATTATTTTCCTGAATTGAGCATTGGTGTTGATATACTTTTACCCTTGTCTGTTTTAAAACTCCTTTGTAGCACTTGATTACCTTGTTGAAAATTCAATTTAAATGTGAAAACATAATTTCAGTAGAAGTTTTTAAAATGTTTTCTGTTCGGTCCGTGTGCTATCAAAAAAATATATAAATATAAACAAGTATTATTGGGATTTCACAGCATGGTGGACATTAGTATCTGGAGGGTCTACCCTGGACGCAGTTGAGCATGGTTGTGCCGTATGTGAGCAAGAGCAGTGTGACGGCTCCGTAGGCTTTGGAGGAAGTCCTGATGAACTGGGAGAAACCACACTGGATGCGATGATCATGGATGGGTAAGAATGCCCTGCAGAACCTGTTGATCCCTGCGACTTTGATGCATGTTTAATTATATTTAGAGCTGCAGTCCTTGAAGAGTGAGATGAAAAAACGCATGACTTGTCATAGGTCACTAGATTATTGTGCTTGGCCTTTCTAAACACAAAGACTTTATCTCTCAATTTAAAAAAGAAAACAAAATCCTTATAGTGGAAGTAACCAAGAAAATAGATACTCTCAGGGAGAATCCCAAGCTATAAAAATAAGCTTCTGTCCTATAAACATTTATTTCCCATCCTCAAATGCTGTAGTTTGCTAAATCTGAAACCTTAAGACCACTTTCGAAAACCAAGTTCAAAATAAGGAAAGAGAAACAGAATTTAATGTTTTGGTATATGTGGTTAATTGAATTTCTGCTTTTTCTTTAATTTTGTCTGATTGGAGGACCATATGGAATTTATGGTTGTGCTTTCACATATGTGTGAAGGTAGAGTTTATCTCACAACACATTGCTTGGAGAAATACAGTCCTGCTTATCTTTGAACTTATGAAAATAACTTTCATACACTTTACTGCATTTATGTCCGCAGCACTACGATGAATGTAGGAGCAGTAGGAGATCTTAGACGAATTAAAAATGCTATTGGTGTGGCACGGAAAGTACTGGAACATACAACACACACACTTTTAGCAGGAGAGTCAGGTACTTTTTAATCATACTGAAATTTTTTCTAACCTTTTGTCTATAGTTTTCACTGTAAGAACAAATAGGACTCCATACAAAATAGGGATAAAAGCATACTGTAAGTCAAATTTCAGGTCCTGCATTTAACATTTGTTTAACGGAATAGGGTCTTTAACTTTTCTATCTCTCTTTATCTTTAAAATGGAAATTTTAAAGGTAACTTATTATCTGTAGATGAATAATTACTGAAGCTAGATACAGCATCAGTTTTCTTCCTGTAATGTTTTTATGTATGTAAGACTGCAAGAACATTATTAATAGATTAGATGGGACTGAACCTGTTTACTATGGGAGGGGGTCTGATTTCAACACTTTCTATCTTACATATCAAAAGTATAGTGATGTATAATCAGAAATATTAATAAATGTGTATAGTAGACCTTCAATTTGGCTGAAAGAACAGAACTGTAAATTACCCAAAAACAGAATCTTACTTATTCAGTGGAATCTATTCATCCCCTTGATTGATATCTTAATTTTCTTTGCCCTGAGCTTTGCACCCTAGTTAGAGCAGTAAGATTTGATCCTGATGAAAAGTGTGCCTTTTGTTTTTTGGAAAAGTGGAGAGAAAGAGCCAGCTCAGGTGAGGTAGTACAGGAAAGTATCATAACATACACACCAGGAGCTTCAAATAGATCAATTGTAGAAAGGTCATACGGAAATCTGAAATTAGAAGTTGATCTATAAAGCTATTAATGTGTGAAAATTTTCCTTGACAGCCTTGAGTACCCCACTTAAGAGAGAGCTGATGCAGACTGCCTATAGTACATATATTTTGTTCATGGTATATGTAAACTTAGTTAATTTATACTTTTCTTTCTAATATCTAGCGACCAAGTTTGCCAAGAGTATGGGGTTTATGAGTGAAGATTTATCTACCAATGCTTCTCGTGGTCTTCATTCAGATTGGCTTGCTCGGAATTGCCAGCCAAATTATTGGAAAGTATGTATATGTATTCCATTTTAAAAGGTAAATTACTTGAAAATTTTAGATGACATCTCCTATTACCTCCCTCTTGCCAAGGGTGCTGGTCATTGTCCTAGATGTACTGCATGTTAGAAGCAATGATTGAAGTTCTTTGGGGGGCCATGGGTGCTTCTGATGCACCCCTGGGGCACAGAACTACTGTTCTCTGAAAGTAGTTTACAAATTGACTGTGGGAGCGAAGCTGATTCTGTCAAAACTGTTCAACTAGTATTTCCTTGGGACAGTCTTATAAAATAAATCAAAAGTTGTGGAAACATCACTGAAAAATATTTGTTAGATTTTATCTGTGTGAAATATATTCAGTTCCCTAACCTGATTTGGCTTGAGGACTTATATTGTCAAGTGTCTAGTATATTACTAATGAAATAATTGCCTTTAATGGATTTTGTAGCATAAATCAATTTTTGCCACACAGATTCCTTCTATGAAATATCGTATCATCTTAAGTCCTAAAAGTGAAGGACTATCAGGTTATCACTGGAAAGACTGTATTCATAAAACCAGGTTATAGGTGGTACCTAATACACTGACTGTATGATATGAGTATCAGTTGGTCCTCTCTGATCTGGGTATCCACAATCCAGTCCTCTTGAGTGTTGACATGATGGTACAAGTAGAAAATCCATACCAACTTGTGCAATATATTGCTTTTCGAAATGCAGTCATGGGCTGGCCATATAGCTCATCGAATTAAAGTGCCTGCTTAGGCAGATGCAGTGGCCAGGGTTCGATCTCCAGCCTGCTATGCCAGCCCCACCCTCAGGGTGGGCTGAGGCAGTGATTGAGACTGAGCATGGTGGCACGTACCTGTAATCACAGCTCTTGGGAGGCTGACCACAGGTGGATCACTACAAGTTTGATATACGTACTGAGACCCTGTAGACCCTGTAGACCCTGTTGATCCTATTGATCCTATCCTAAAATACAAAAAAAAAAAAAAAATGCAGTCACACTGAGAATACTGTAAAATTACTCTGAAGATACCTGAATAAGATTCTTATGAAACATTAATGAGTTTGATGTTGAACTTGGGTTCTGTCCTCATGATATGTCATTATGAACATGCATATATACCAAAACCCAAAACAGTTCTAGTCTCAAAATATCAGATAACAAATATTCAACCTATAGTACATTGTTATTTTTACCAAACCATATAAACAATCTCAATTTATGAGTTTGGGTTATATTTTTCTGACTTTAAGATGTAAAAATAATTTTAAGTATCACATAGAACATACTCATATAATTGTAGCTTTGAAAAGAATGATTTAAAAGCAGATTTTACTTTATACTTCAGAATTCTTCATCTGGAGAATAAGTTCTGAAATGTAAAGGTCAGCTTGTGTACCTTAACTCCTTCGAGGATTAGTATCTAATAAACTTTGTATCTGCCATTATGTTGAGAAATTTAGGCATATAAAGAGAAAATGTAGAGACCTATTCTATGTAGTATAGATGTCTAAACCATATTATTTAATTCTGTGGCTAGCATGAGAATTTAGTAAAATTACATATTCATCTATCTTCAGATAAGACTTAGCGATCTTTAAGCTTTCAGTTACCAGATGTCTTTTTGATTTTGAACTAGCATGTGATGATCATACATAACCACTTGGCAGTTTCTAAAACTCCTTTCTTAAAACTCAAATCTTATTCACAGAATGTTACACCAGATGCTTCAAAGTACTGTGGACCCTACAAACCACGTGATGTCTTAAAGCAGGACAGTCATACCTGTAAAGAAATAAGAGACGAGTGTGGTCATGATACTATTGGTAATTTACCTGTTATAAAGTTTTTATTTTTAAAATTTCAGTCCCTCCTATACCTCCTCTTTATCCCTATTCACGTACAAAACAATCAATTTTGATTATTCTGATTATTTCAATTGCTGAATAAGTACATAATATATACAATATATTATATATGTTACATATATGTATAATCTTGCCTTAGCATTTGTACATAGTTCAGTAAATTTCTTACATAAAAGCCTCAGAATGCAGTAACTATTCACCTTTGAATTTTCAATCTTCATTTTATAGTTATTTGATATTTATATTGTTTGAAATATTAAAGAGAAGTTGTAGTGCTAACAATTGCTATTAGTCTATATCAGAAATTTTAGTTGGAATTACCTTTAGGAAAGTATTGAAAGTAAGTAACATTTTGACGCGTGAGAATATGGAATGTCTGTCAAATGAGGTTGTGAAACCAGGTCATTAAACTGCAAAATTACACCATTGGTATAATTTTCATTACAAAATGCCTCTTTTATCTGAAATAAACAAGAGAGCATATTTATATTATTATTTTAGTCAGTTTATATTGTAAAAGGTACCATAGATTAGATAATTTATAAATAACAAAAATATATTTCTCACAGTTGAGGAAGGCTAGGCAGGCCAAGATGTATTTGCTAACAGATTCGACATCTAGTGAGGGCTTATATTTTGGCTCATAGGTGGCTATTTCTCCCTGTGTCCTTGTATGGTAGGAGGGGCTAGCTGGCTTTCAGGGGCATTCATATGAGAGAACCAAATCAGATTTTTAAGGATCTGCCTGTTCGTCTCCCTGAGGTCCCTCTCCTAAATATTTCACTTTGTAGATTTAATTTCATCATGGAATTTTAGGGCACAACCATTGAAACTTTTCCACTGCCTGTTTATGTGATTATATTTTTTGTAAAATTCAGGTACTTAATTTATTTTCCTTCCTTCCTTCTTCCTCGTAGGCATGGTTGTAATCCATAAGATGGGACATACTGCTGCAGGTACCTCTACAAATGGTCTAAAGTTCAAAATTCCTGGGTTAGTGTTTCCATATGAACAAATTTCTCCAACAAATAGTGTAAAGGTAGATGTTATAGAAAGTGCAAAATGCAGAGCACATCTCTCGTCTCATAGCTGAGCTAGGTCAGTGTGATAGAAAAGATCTTGCTGTCTGATAAGGGCCATTTGTGTGTAGCTTCAGCTTGCACTGGTGACAGAGGTGATCTATTTAAGCTAAGTAGTTGGGAAGGCCGGTAAGGTAGACACAATGAGCTGAGTTCTTTTTTTTCTTTTTTGTAATTTTTTTTTTTTTATTTTTCAACAAATAATACACTGCATATATTCTTCTTAGTGGTTAATTGCTGTACAAGATGCGG